GTATTCCAAAAATCATAGGAATAATGGCATCTTCCTCAGTGTCAAGGATGACAAAATCAACAGGAATGATGAATTTGTCTACCTTTACCAATATATCATCAATGATGCCATAAGATTGCTTTGAAGAGCGGTTAACCAGTTGCACTATTGTTCTTACGGGTTCACTTCAGTAATCCCTAGCTTCAGTAATCCATCCGCAATAGGATTCCTTCTCTCGATTCTTCAAAATGCTCTTCCCAAAAGCTCCATTCTTGAATGTGTCAGCCCTCTTCTCATAGAAGAAATCATATCTTTTTATTTTCTTGTGTGATCTTGCATTAAATCTTAAACCATATTTTTTAATTTCCCATAATATCTTTAATGAAATCTTTAATATAATCTTCAATCATATCTTTAAAATCTTCTCTTTTATATTTAAAGGAAACAACTTCCTAAAAAATATTCAAGAGAATCTTCAATAAGATCTTCAATCAATTATAAGATTTAATAAAATAAATCCACTTAAGCTCTCAAATATATCTTTTTATAGAGCTGAAAATTACTGCAAAATTTAAGAATTTGTATTAGAATATTTCTGAGAATAAAATAACATTTTAATTATAATTCATAACTTTTAATTACTTTTAAATCAATTGCATGCTCATATTAACGCTTAATACATAGTAAATTGGAGACTCATCAAGTCAAAAGATCTCCCCTTATAGGGTCAAGATTATTTTACACTGATGTAAGTTACACTCTCAATCTTATTTATTGATCCTATTTATATCTAATGGTTCCTATTTATTAGAATTTTGAGTTCGTTAGATTAAAGCAAATCAATCATTAAGATTAGGTGTAAGACTTTTTATTCTTATACCCTATATAGGAATATTCTGCCCACACACATATATGGGAGAGATCTTTTTTGACTTCGGTGTAAGACTTAGAAGTCCAAGATTAAGAGTGTAATATGTATATATAGGACAATTAAATGTGGGTGATCGCATTTAAATTTTTTGTAGTTGCTGTATGTGCGACAATTAAATTTGAGGAATTATAATCATACAAAGGTGGGTGATCACATTAAATGTGGGGAATCGTAACCAATCAACGGTTTAAATTTAATTTTTGTACGTACAACAGCTGTATAAATGATTTTACCCTATATATATACGTGTGTATATATATATATATATATATATATATATATATATATATATATAGGGTTTGCTTTTTCTACAGTCAATGTAGATAATTTATCTACAGTGAGCTCAAAACGACGTCGTTTTGAGGCAGAAATTAAGGTATGGAAATCAACAAAACATGACACTGATTTAAAGCATGAGCTTTTTTGTTAAAAAAGTAGTAATGTCGTTATGGGACTGGGTACGTGAAACCTAAATATTTTTCATAAATTTTTATTTTAATACTGTAATTATTACTCTCAGAAAATTCATAAAAAATTGCCACTTATTTTGTTGAGTTTGAAAACAAAAATAGAAAATCTAATAAAAGTCTTAAAACTAGTCTAAAAAAATAATTGTGTTCAGAAGTTAATTATATTTTCTCTTCAATTTACTTCGGTGGTAACAATTACATCTATTGTATCTACCATAAATTTGAGATAACCTCTAAGGATTATAGAAACTTGAATGGTAGATCTATAAATGGTTGAAATATTTAACTAAAAGCTACTGTGAGTTTGTAATATTTAGGTATTTTTATTTATTTGATATTGAATTAAATTTAAATAATAACTAATGTAATTTTTATAATTTTAAGATGATTTCTTGAAGCATATGATTGATCGTGACAATTCATTGGTGGCTGGGGTAAAGACATCCATTTGCCAATCTAATGATCTGTTATTCTAGCAAGTTGTTGGTGGTATGCACAAGAAAGGTTGAATATATGGTTCCAATGTAAAGGCGATGAATTATAAGTCTGTGCATATTTTTGTCAACTCGTTAGGAGTCTCCATATATGAGTATAATCGTATGATAAGAGACTTGGTCACCAGCTTATCCAACCAGAATGAGCAGTTACAATAGAAATATGAGAACATGTAGCAACAAATTACTGTTACGAAAAAGCAAATAGACCGGCGATTATTGTAGGATTATATTTTCTTCTCTTATTTTAATTTGTGAATATTACTTATTATCTCATACATTTATTATTTTTCATGAATTCGCGTTAAAACTTATTATATTATAGTGATTGGATTTGATTTGGTACCTCATTTTCATTTAGTATTAGCTATTTCATATTCTGTGTTGGTTGAATTTGCTATAGAATTATTGGATGATAAGAAACATTAGGTTTTAATAATAATAAAAAATTTCAATGTAACTTATTTTGAAAAAAATCAAATATTAGGGATGGAAAATAGAGATAGAAATATTCGTCGTCAATTGGGATGGAAAACATTCTCACTAATAGAGATAGAAAAAATCCATTACTAATAGAGACAGAAAAAGTTCTATTACTAACAAAGACAAAAGCAATCCATCACTAACAGAGATGAAAATTATCTGTCACTAACAAAGATGAAAAAATATATGTCATTAATAGAGAGGGAAAAAATCTGTCACTACCAGAGACAGACAACTTTCGTCCCTGATAGATACGGATTAGGCATATTTCAAGTGCATAAATTAGTGACGGAATAATATCACAGGGACAGATTTATCCATCACTATCAGGGAGGAAAATATTTTTGTCTCTGATAGTGACAGAATTTGTTCCGTCTCAGATAGAGACCGATTTGTTTCGTCCTAAAATTCGTGTCTATTAGAGACAGATTCATAATTCTGTCTCAACCTATTAGTGACGAGTCATAATGTAACGGATTTTTGTCCGTCCCTAATTCTGTCACTAGTTTATTTAGTGACAGAAATATTTCACTCAGTGACAGAATTATTCCGTCTCTAATTAATGTTTTTTTAGTAGTGCTATTCTATATATAAGGCCACAAGGGAATAGGCTATTTTATTTATATATTTTTCTACTTACTTTTACTTATTATTTTCTAACACCATTAAATCTAAGAGGAGCCTAGCTTCATTGACTCGACTCAACTCAACAGCACTAACCTGACTGGCCAATTGACCTTTTCCCCCACCACGCAGCTTGTTCCTCGTTATGCAACAGGAACAGCTACCATCCTTTGTTTATGTTCTTTTACTTCTTGCTACTCACTCATTCTCGAATCGCTATTCTCCAAGCGATCAGGTTTAGTCACTCGTGGATATTGTCAAACCGCATGTCATCAAACTGACGTGTTTCCATTCCCTTGCATAAAAGTGGCACCAACATCAATTTCCACGTGTCCCATGTGCATGCAATTTGCGCGTGTCTGTGCTACATAGGGAACATGTCTGATCCTTACTCCTTCGATGTAGGTCTCATGCACGAACCCACTCTCCACCCTACACGTACCTTACTTACGTGCCAATTATCCATTTCAACCATAATTTTTATTTCAAAGAATGTATATTTTTTTCACTTCTTTAATTCCCATTCCCCGTATAAAGCCAATAATTATCGCTTCAAAATTATAAAAACCTGATTTGGTAGCTATCTATCGCTTTGGAAATAGATTCCTTCCATATTTATTTATTTATTCGATCGCATATGAAACGGTATTTTTAAATTACAAATTTCAAGAATCTTTAAATATAATAAGTTGAATGTAAAAAGTGAATAATTTTACACCAAAAAATAAAATAAAAATAAAAATAAAAAGTGAATAATTAGAATTTTGTATAGTTGCTATTATTTTTTTCATCCAAACCATCAAGCGTCTTCCAATTTTATTTTTTAGTATTGTTTAATTTCTATCTTCTTAAAAACATCCTTTTGTGTAAATTATTGAAAAGAGAAAATCGTAACTATAAAACAAACAAAACCTCATCTTAGTCTCTTTCCCATCTCTTCCAAAATTAATTTTTATTAAATTCATTAAATTAAAAATTCCAATGCTATTTTTCAGCATTCTCATTTATCTTTGTAGGGTAAATAAATTAGACTAAGTTATGTTTTAGCTTAAATAAATTAGGTTTATGTAAAATATTTCAGGCTTGATTGATTTGTTAGTCTGTGTATGTTCAAATTATAAATTTTGTCTAACTTATATTTAAAAAATAAAACTCTTGGACTAAATCTGTTAGTCTGTTTAAAATTATTAGACATGTAATAATTAAAAAAATATTATTATATTATTCAAAATTATTAAAATAATATTTTTTTATTTTATTTAAAAAAAATATATGCCGACTTATAAACTTATAAGCCTGATGTATAAAAAAAAATTTATAACTTATTTTTAAAATAAATATTCTTAGATCCAAATATATTTTATTTGATTATATATAATAAATCAAATTTAACCTGATATAAACCGAGTCCTAAACCCCTGTACAACGGTTGGCTCATTTGCGTCTCTAATTAATCTAATGGTGTGTAAATTAAATTTCGCAATAAGTTGGATAGGCACTGTTCCATTTTAAAGGTGAACAAGCAGATCTCATACAATCGGGCTACGAGCCCAGCTTCGTTGTAAAAAGCCCACTTTTCACACTTCAGCAACAGTAAGATGCTGCAATTATCCTACTCAATATAATAATAATTAACATCAAAAGATATTTATCCAGTAAAAAAATTTAAAAAGAAAAAGAAAAAGAAATCACTAGATATTTAGGAATTAGGATCAAGTAGCAATGGCATAATTGAGAATATACGCGAAACAGGTGGACATATGGGAGAAGGTGAATAATAAAAAAGCAATAAAAAGAGCAATCCTTGGTAGGGAGGAAAGCTACGAGAGAGTTTTTAGTGGCTCGTGAAGGTTCGAGTGGCACGTGCCACAAGCTTCGGGAATCCGAAGCAACATAAACGCGACCAAGGAAACGCCACGTCACCATTATGGGTTTGCAATAAAAAAAGATCAGAAATATCTAGAGAAGGCTATAAATAGAGATTACAGCTTGATAGCCCAAAGATTTTATGAATCCGCTATAGCTGTGAACCCCCCCCAGTTTCCCAAACAAGCTTTTCAATCCAAGAAGTATCTTTCTCACTCCAAACACATCACAACGCCGTCGTATAAGGGATAAAGCAAAAACCCTAGGTTTTGTCTCTGACTCGTGCAGGTTAGTTGCTTTACATTCACCCATATCTTTCCGATTTGCTTTGTTTTTGTTCTAACTGGATTAATTTTTTCATCTTTTTCTGCAAATTCTTGTGCGTGATTACTCATTAGGGCTTTATTTAATTGTTTTTGTTTTCTGTGTGTGCGCTTCTTGGTTATTCCTCAGTCAGTGTAGTATTTTTTTAAGTTTTTTTTTTTTTTTTTTTTTTTTTTATAAAAAAAATAAAAAAGCAAGGATTTCTTGCCAACCAAGTATTTGCTTTTTAATTTATCTCTATCTATTACTTGGGGTTCAAGGAAATTCGATTCTTGATTGAATTTATTATTATTATTAATGAGGGGATGTTGTAAAATCCTATTTATACTTTTCCACCTTTATGCTCTCTCTTGCCCTCTTCTTGTTTAGAATTTTGGGTTTCTGAAGCATTATTAATACGGTTTTGTTTTTTCGGTAACAGCATATTGTTAAATCGATTGTTGAGTGTGGGAGCACTGTTAATTCGTTCGCGCGGTGTACGCAATTTGTCACTTGGAAAGTGGTTGCTGTGTGTAAAAAAGCTGCTGAACTCTGAACTCACTGTGATGGGTGTTTATGAACAAGGTTCTGATAATTCTGTTAGAAAGAGGAAAAGTAGGAGCAGAGGAGATGGGTCTAGATCCATAGCTGAGACTCTGTCAAAGTGGAAGGAATACAATGAGCATCTTTTCTCTGCAAAAGATGATGTTAAATCAACTCGTAAAGCCCCAGCCAAGGGTTCAAAGAAAGGGTGCATGAAAGGTAAGGGAGGACCTCAAAATTCACAGTGTAACTACAGAGGTGTTAGACAGAGGACATGGGGGAAATGGGTTGGTGAGATTAGGGAGCCAAATAGAGGAAGTAGGCTTTGGTTGGGCACCTTCTCTACAGCCCAAGAAGCTGCTCTTGCTTATGATGAAGCTGCTAGGGCCATGTATGGTCCTTGTGCACGTCTCAACTTCCCCCACATCTCAGATTATAATGCTATCAGAGAATCGTTGAAGGACTCTTCCTTGGTCTCAACTTCTTCTTGTTCTTCAGTGGCAACTCCTGCAGCCTCCGATACAACTACTATATCCAATCATTCAGAAGTTTGTGCGGCTGAGGATGCTAAGGAGAAACCTCGACCTGTCATTATGAACGATACGCTTAATGCTTGTCACAAAGCTTATGAATCTGCCTCACCAACTAGTAGAATGAAGCAAGAGCCTATGGATGAGCCTGGGGATCTGACTGACCCTGGTGGTGGGGAAATCCAACATGGAAGACCAGAAGGGACTTATGATGTCGGGCAGGTTGCCGAGGATGTAAATAAAGATCAGATGGATTTTTCGTGGATTGATGGCTTTGATTTTGATGGTGATTACTTGAAGAGCTTTTCTACGGATGAGTTATTTCAGGTGGATGAACTTTTGGGGCATATAGACAATAATCCAATTGATGACTCTGGGTTGATGCAAGGTTTGGATTTTGGACAAATGGGTTTTTCTGGGGACAGTAATTCTCAGGTTGAGATACCTTCAAGCTTCTTTTATGAATTGCAAAATCCAGATGCGAAGTTGCTGGGAAGTTTGCCCCATATGGAACAGACACCATCGGGTGTTGATTATGGATTAGATTTCTTAAAAACAGAAGAGCCAGGGGAATATAATGATGGAGGGGAAGAGCAGCGATTTCTTAATTTAGATAATGATCTGAACCATGATTCAAAAGGAATGCAAGCAAGGAAGGATGATTAAAGAAGGCTGCTTGCGTTAGTTTTTAATGATGATGATGTGTGGATTTCAGTCAAGGGTCTGCCTCACTTTGTCAATTTACGAGCATCAGCTTGTAACTTGTTTCCTTGGTTTTTTGTCTCTTTAGGTATATAGGTGCACAAAACAAATAGAGATGTTTCTTCTTGTTCTTTTGTTTTTTAAATATGCTGATTCTCTATAGGGTTTTTAAATTGGAGAATATAGCTAACATTTGTTTATTTTTTTACACATAGTTTGCCTTTTAACTTCGTGGGCGGATCTGAGGAATAGGCTACTTATGGTCCTTTGTGGGCCTAATACAGCATTTTGATCACTGATCTTGTCTGAAGTTTTCTTGTTATATACAACGGAAAACTAGCATAGCTCGAGTATATAAAATCATTGTGACTTTTGTGTATCCAAATTGAACGAGTAACAGAATCTACATATTGTGAACATTCTGAATATTGTTTGTGTTCATATTGTGTTCTTTATTTATGATTATACTGGCTGTTATCCTTGGTCATTCAAATGGACATGCAGAGTCTACGGGATGTATCCGGTAAGACTCTGGTTTACAACAGAGAAACATATCACATTCTTGGCTGTTGACTCCTTTCTTGACCTTGTGTAAACTGGTAAGCAGTTCCTTCTTTGAGTCTCCGGTGTGGTCGAAATTTTGATAGAATCGTTAACCAGATTGTTCTTGTGTTCTTTGGTCCATGTAAAGTGGACGTTGATACCCAACAAGTAAACATTAAAATTTTAAAGTGATCTTAGAATTTTTTAATATACAGGTGATCTTCAAATGTTCTATTAAGTTGAAAATTTTATTTTACCGTGATATCCAAATTTAGACATGTGATCTCCAGTTGTTCTAGAATTTTCATTTTCATTTTTGCAAATTAGCAAGACATTTTGTAAATAAAATTTTAAAGGGTGTAATTTTTTTTCTTAATTTTCCATCGATTCATTGACTAATACTCTGGGCATTAAGGGCTACTAAAATTTTCCTTTTGGTAACTTTCCAATGCCCAATTCGAGGACAACTTTCTAATACTATTGAAACACCCAATTCGGGGGTTTGATAATTGAAGTGTAGTATTTCCCAATTAAATAAGAACCTCCTTTCTTCCGATGTGCATTCGCACCTGAAAGAATGTGAAACAAACATACTCTAAAAAGGTCAGTTCACGAGAAAAGTGAAGAAGTAGAATAGGATAGAGGGATTCTAATTCTGTAGCTAATTTCGACCTTGAATAGAAACCAGAGAGTAACATGGGATTTTCCCCGTGAGCCTTAGGCTAAGTAATGTTATGGAAATTTGTACAATATTTTTGCCCGGTGAACTCTTTGCAATTTCTAACTCTATGGGACTTTTGACCCTTTTATTCACCTATAAACTATAAGGAAAAAAAATTGTAATTTCTCTATTACAGCCTTTTCTTTACCTAAAAAATAAAAACCATGGACAACAACCTGTTTTCTAGGGAATTTCTTTTATATCATTTGTTTCAACCTTTGATAGCATAGGTATGTTACACATCCGCTAAGCAAATTTTCCACCTTTTGAGCCTTGTACATAGGAGGCCCTGTATACATAAGTGTCTTTCTTTGAACACTATGCATTTGCTTGCTTATAACCATGCGCAGATGGAAAATATTTACTGTATCATCTAAGAAATTTATCATTCATTCTGCACCACAACATTTCTTAGGCCTCTTTCGAATGAATACCAAATTTTTACATAATAATTTTTAAATAACCAGGATATCATAAGAAAAAATTTCAAAGCTTAAATTTATTAAATTCAAATATGAAGTTAAGAAGGGATAAACTAAAACTATTATATAAATAATTTGCTAATTCTTTGAGATTCTTTATTGTAGTCTATAGATTTATCACTTTTATTGCATAAGAGTCATTTCTTTGAAAAAGTAAATGAAAAACAATAAGATTGTTTCCCAGTAAACGTATCAAAAGTCTAATGCCCAAGTTCATTTGTGTCAATAATATTTAACTTTTTTTTTTTGTTAAATAATATTTAACTTTATTCATCTTATCTCTTATGTTGTAAATTTGGGAACGAGTTTCGCAAACAATAACAAGCTGATCATAAGAAGAAGTATTAAAGAAAGCATAAAGAAGATGACACCAGTATTTTACAAGTTCAGAAACTCAGTATTAGTGAGTTTCCTACGTCCTAGGACCTAAAGAGGGTTAAATGCTCTCTGAAATTACTCTATATTCAAATTAAGTTCAGAACCAGAATTTACAATATACAATTTCAGCTATACAGAAATTAAGCATGCGAAGAAACTATAACATGAAACAAGACAACAAGAAACATTATCTTGATACAACACATCAAGATTAACAAACATAATCATAAGGTAAGGAGTAACTTCCCAATCTTTGAGCTAGCAAGGAAACGTAGTTCCTTTCACAAGATCTCCAAGTCGATCAACATCAGCTTCACCAATCTTCCTCACAAGGTTGAGCTTCCACTCTTTGACCGTCGATCAGAAAAGTACACCGATCAATAGAACCATCTTGTTGAGATGAACAAGTTTCTTCAAATCACCATAGATCAAATCTCAGTGTATCACTCGCTATTCTCAGAATGAATGCACTCACAAACCCTAGTGAACAACTTTGTTCGAGAGAGTTCCTTTTAAATGGTAGCAAAATCAGAAAAATCACATTATGACCACTGTGTGCTCAGCTGAGGTTAAATGTGTCATTTTGCCTTCACAAAGTAAAACGATGGCGTTTTACTTGTGTTGCAAAATGGGCCTCAGCCTTTCAATTGGGCCAGTAACATAAAGCAACAAAACTGAAAGAGCCCAATAGCAAAAATAAAGAGATTAACGTCTATGTTTATGAAATACGTATAATATCTTAGATAAATTTTAAGTTTAATCTAGTCTCGTGAAGAAATTACAACATGAATTTTGACAATTTTTGTTTGTACCAATGCAGTTTATACAATAATGTCAATAAATTTGCACAAAATTTTTTGGGTAAAATTCTCTATCGGCCAGAGCCTAATACAAAAGAAAACCAAATTATAAATAAATTTCAGGTGGTATAAATAAATAATAATAAAAAATAAGTTTTCATTATGGTAATACCTTCCTCTGATCAATTCAGAATCAAGTTAAGCATAACAAAATTATAAAAAATGCTCGCTAAACCAAGGGCAGCCTCTAGTAGACAATCTCAATAATTTAATATTTTAAAAAGTCTTGCTTATTAATATCCTTAGGACACTGGTTAAGAAAATTAAAGTGAGATTTTCTCCAAAATAACCAAATAATAATGTAATCACCCTTACAAGTGGTATTCGTCCATTTTTTTTATATTACGGTCTGTTTGTATTTTTTTGATTAGAAGCCATATTTAAAAGGTATAATGGTAATTATTATTTTTTTTTTGGAAAAAAGTAAAATAATAATAATATTTTTCTCAAAATAAAAAATATTTTTGTAACAAATTATATTATAAAAGTGTTTTTAAATTTTTTTATTTAAACACCGTTTTTACTAAAAATACTTTTGTCCTTTCAACATATCTTTAGAAAATTAATTAAGCATTATTTATATTTTTGACTTTACATTTAATACTAATAAGTGAGAGAAAATATTAATAAAATTATACTATTATTCAATAAAAATATATTTCAAATAAGGAAACTTATTTTCATTTGTTATCATTGATCAAGACTATTTAAGAACTTTCTTTATTCTTGTGTAACAGTCTTAAAAAATAATAATAAAGAATGAAGGTAAAAGAAACTAAAAATAGTTAATAATGTTATTTAATGAATTCTGTGAATATATTCATTAAAAAAATCTTATATCAAAAGCTCAAAAATATTTATTATTTTTAATTAAAAATTAATATTAAATATTATTTGTTCCTAACTGATGTCATTAGACCACTAAACATTTAGTATTTTGTTTCCATTATTGGGCCGACAATCGGTATTATGTCTGCACACAAATTGGACCCAAAGAAGCTACAAATGATTGACTATTTAATTTGTTTTCTCTAGCTTTTGACGTTTTTGTTTTTATAATTTATTTCTTTTACAAAAATTATATCTCTTTATTATACATTTGTTTTGTAATTTATTGACGATCTTATGTAATTATTTTTAAATTTATATATAATTATTAATTAAAATAGATCATTTCATATGTAATTTAACATGATTAGGTAATATGAAATAATTTTAACTATTCATAATTAAATCAATGATAGTCTTTTCATTACTCTCTAAGTCTCTATTCTAATATTTATCGCTTTCATATCCCGTCCTCATTGATAATAACATATTTTTTCTTATTATTTTACCCTTTCAATATTGGTTTCAGTTGAAATAGTTAGTTTTTTTAATTCACTTAAATGTCAATTAATTTTTAGTTTATACATTCTCTCATGTTTAATACTCTCTTCACAATTTATTCAAAAAACAAATATGATGAAAAATATTAAATTCGTGTTAAGATTTTTCAAATCAAATCAATGTTATAGGAATTAAGTGAAAGTTTTTATTTTTTTAAAAAAGTTAAATTACATACTAGAAAAACAAGCTTTTTGACTAAATAGATACATTTCACATTAAAAAAATACAATATTTAATTTACTTTTTAAAAAAAATTCCAAACTAAAGTGGTTAATCTAGGTTTGATCATACGGGACAAGTCTCATATGTCAATGATGTGGGTTTAATAACAACGCAGCAGCCACGGGACTCTTTAAGTCCGCACGTTGATCGTACAGAATTTGATGCCAACGTGTAAGTCTCACTTGTTTACCGTAAAATCCTGTTTACCATGTGGGATTGTCATGTTGACATTAAATCCTGTATAATCAATGTACGAGAGTTAAAAAAATCTTATATAGACTGCATTAGTTTAGAACATCTTTCAAAAAAGAAATTAATAAGTATTTTTGTAATAAAAAGGACTAGTTTGGTGAAAAAGCTATAACAATATATGATAGGTTATACTTACTATCAGTTTTTTTTTTACCACCTTGTACTACCAATTTTGCTATCATTGGTTTAAAATAAATCAATAGTTATAAAATAATATCAAGTGAAAGCCGTTAATTTAATTTTGATCCGATGATAACAAAATTAGTAGTAAAAAGTGAGGCTTTTCGACCTTTTTCAAAATAAAATTTTCATTATGCCCTTATTTTTATACTATTTAAAAATTTGACCATTTATTAAAATTTAACACCAAATTTCCCATGTTTAACCATTGACTGGTAGATATAATTAGTGTCTATAATAGATTTCTTTTGTATAATACTAATCGATTAATTACATGACTCATGTAATCGATTACATGGCTCAAATTTACCCTAAAACTTTGAAATGCCATGATTTATTGCTCGAGGGTCCGAATTAATTAATTTTTTATTCCACATAACTTCTTGAAATCTACACGCTGAAATGATTATTTTTTAGTATTGGAAAGTGAAAATAAGAATTGGAATTAAATAACATCATCCACAAAGATAAAATATGCAAAACGAGGCACAATGAAGTATTTTTTAAAACAATTTTGACCAATGGGGACTTGATAGTGCATTCGTCTCGAAGAGTTATCTGGAATAAAAAAATACCTGATTCGGGCCCCCGATGCCAAAGTTATGGCATTCCAAAGTTTTTCAGTAAAACATTTCAAATTTAGTGTTACTTTAGGTCTTGTGATACTACAAAGCCCCTCCTCAAGTCCAATACTATGAGAATGTGACCACAGAAAATCGTTTGATCCAAAAAAAAATCTCGTAGAAAAAAATATGTATGACTCCGTTCACTGATATAATCGACTATTGTATAATGATATAATCAATTACATTAGTTAATCGATTACATGGCTATTGTAATTGATTACATGGGCCAGTCGACAATCATATAGGTGCAAATTGGTGTATAACTTTGGGACGAGGGCAAAATAATAATTTTTAATTAAATGAGGGAAAAAAAAATCAAAAAAACCAAATAGTGGTAAGAAAAAAAAATGTGACAAATACAATCTTTCCCTAAAAATATTATTTATTCAGAAGTTAATCTTGTGGGATTAAATAACCATTTATGCATCATAAATACAAAGCAACACATATTTCAACAAAAAGAAGCCTTTAATTTGCTCCAGAAGCCGAGAATCATTGAATGCCCCAACGCTCTGCTGTCTTAAAAACATTTTTTTACACTCTCAAATCAATCCCAGCCTCGAAATATTTCCATAAATTTAGCGTAGTCAACTAATGTATATTAGATCAATTATGTTATTAATTAATATAATTAATGATACAATTGAAATTAATGTATCCAAAGTGTAATTTTTTTTTTTTTGGCATTTCAAAACTAAGTGCATTTACTATTTAGTTTAGGTAAATATTCTCTTATGTGACATCATTTGTAGGGTAGAATAGAATACCCCTTAAATTTTTGTTTGCCTCTATAGACTGTGATGTATATGCATAGCCCATTTGCTAGGACCTGGTACCTGGTCCTGCACTTTAACGCGAATATCATTAAACCACCATTTTTTTTCCTTTCTTTCTCTCTCTCTCATGCAACTGCACGAAATTCAAGGCTTTTTGGACACTTTTAGATTTTTCCGTGTCTGTGTCTGCTTTCATTCAACACTTTTTTCACATTCCCTTTTAATTTTTTCTCTCACTCTTCACTTCACTGACTTCATGCTCAACTACTACATTTCCAGCACCATTATTACCTCCTCTGTTTCCCTGTCTCTCTCTTTATCTTTCCCTTGAGGGATGCTGCAACCTGCGCTTTAGATTCTCTCCGGGAACCTGCTTTTTCTGGTTGGTAAGTAAGGAATCACTCAGCTCAGTGTATGCTTCCTCTATTTTTTCCCCAGAAAATCTAAATGGCTGTGTTGGATTAAACTATGCGTTTTAAGTCAAACTAAAGTCTGATGTTCATCAAGTGGTTGATCCACCTGGTGAAGTATGAAAGTCTATGTTTTTCACTTCTTAGGATGTAGAAATGACTTTGGATTCTTTTTTGGATATATATTTGTTTTTCAAAGGATGTTTTTTTTTTTTTTTTCTTGCCTTTTTTTATTTCTTGTGATACAGAACTTATTGCTATTTTTGTGGATGTATAAGTGTAAAGTGGGTATCACAAATATTTATTTTTTCCTTATCATTGTCTTAATATAATTCTCAGATGAAGTTCTGAACTCTTCACATGTAATAATGTGTCTGACTTATGCTAACTAACACAGCATTTGATGATCAACGGCCCTTTGCTTTGATAGGAAACTTGGCTTTTGGGGGAAAATGAAACAGTTGAACAGAGTTTTGTTTCTATTCTCCCCCTTTGTTTAGTTGACCACCCTACCTATTCTTGGAGAAATGATTGACTTATGAAATAAATGAAGTCCCGGGCTTTTCATACGTGTGTCTATTTAGAAGTACCACATTTTATCCTTCTTAATTTTCCTTTTATCTTTAGGAAGCAGAAAAGAACAGATATGAAATGAAGCACTTTTGCTCCAGTTTTTTAAAGATATTTACAATGCCATTGTATTTGTATGCCAATGAGTAGCCTTTTATTGCACTAGCATGATGAAGTTTTGATCTTGAGTTGAAGTTCATCTACATAATCACCTGCTGCAGATACAACATCAGCAAGTCAGTTAGCTGTTATAATCAACCATGTACAGAAAAAGGCAGTTACATCAATTGAATCATCCATTCAGTTCTCAGCGTAAGCCCTTCCTTGTCTTTTTTATCAATTGATCACTATGCATGAGAAAGAAAAGAAAAATAATGAACGGAATAAATACTAATGAGTTCCAACATTGATTCTACAATACTGAAAGGAATGTCAGTGCCTTGGTCAAGGTAAAAAAGGCATTGTAATTTATAAGACAAACTTAATTGACTAGTTCTTGTCCAACATGAGTGTCAGTTGCTTACAATTTCTGTAATCATGCATTCACATTCTTTAGCAAAGATTCTTTTAACATATTGACTTCCTCAAATTTTCTTTGTAAACAGCCTTTGAAGCAGTTATCTTTGGCTCGTGGCAAGCTGTGGAGCTCCTAAAAATCGAGTCAGGAACTATGACCATGCATTTTTTAGATGATCGTCATATGGCTATGGAGAAAGGCCCCTCCTCAGACATTCGTATAAGGTCAAGGAAAGCTACTTTATCAGATTGCTCCTGCTTATTACGTCCTGGAATTGACATATGCGTGTTATCAGCCCCTCAGCGCACTGATAATTCAGATGAATTTAGTCTCGAACCTGTAAGTGATCCTCTTAAGCTGAAATTTAAACTTGTTATCTTTTCAATTAAGGTTCTTGAATTTCATAAATTATAACATTTAAAACAGAATCTTCAAGTCATCTTTTGTTGCAGTACACCTTAAGATAACCCCAATTGGCCAATGCAATTTCACACTTGAAGTTTCTTTTTTAGCTCAACTGAGTATGATGCTTGCATAACCTAATGTATTTATGCAGTGGATAAGTTCTAATTCTTCCTTTATTTTGACTTTTTTTAATGCATATTTGCTGAAATAATGTGTTGGAAACGGTACTTTGTTTTCAAGATCTCCTTATATGAGATAATAGCAAAATAGAGCACATTTACATGGTTAATATTTTCTGCTTTATTAGTGTGAGAAATTTGTGTTTGGCATTTACTAAGTGATAAATATGGCTTTTCCCGTCTTGATTCTCTTCCCATATCACTTGGCCTTTGTTTAAGTCCTCTCCTTTTTCTTTTTTTTTGGATAAAATCCTCTTCTTTAATTTGAGAGTTGTAGTTGCCAAAATTTAAAGTATGATTTACTGATTTTTTTTTTATTATAGGTTTGGGCTGATGCTAAAATAAGTTCTATACAGAGAAAGCCCCATGAATCTGAGTGCTCATGTCAATTTTATGTCAACTTCTATGTTAATCAAGGTTCGCTTGGTGCAGAGATAAGAACTCTTAGTAAGGAGATTAAAATAGTTGGAATCAATCAAATCTCTATCCTCCAAAGACTTGAACATATTCCTTGTGAAAATCAGCCTTACCGGTGGGCTTCATCTGAGGACTGCTCTGCATTATCACAAACTAAATTGCTTTTGGGAAAATTTTTATGTGATCTTTCATGGTTAGTTGCTGCGTCTGTTGTAAAGAAGGTTTCATTTTGTGCAAGATCTGTAGAAAACAAGCTAGTGTATCAAATTTTGGGAAGTAATATTATTAGCACTTCATTGAACACTGAGTCTCATATAAATGTTGTGAATTTCAGAATAGACAATGACGTATTAGTACCTTTTGTTTCTCAAGTTGTTACACATACTATCGAGAGAATTGAGTATGCACATGAATCCCATGAAGATAAAGTGTCTCCATCTTATAATATTGAGGGCTTACGACGTTCCAAACGCCGGAATGTACAACCTGAGCGTTACCTTGGTTGCGATGATGTTTCTGAGTTCGAAGTTGGTTCTTTTAGAACCAGGCCACCAGTTAAGATAGACACATGGGAGGATGATGAATTGTCATTGCCATTATCATGCCTGTTTGGTTTGCAGCAAAACTGTCCAGAAGAGGATGTTAACAATTGTCAAAAGGTCAAGAAGGTGAATACCTGCCGGGAGCTTGTAGTGTACAAGAGGAGGGCTAACAGGAGGGCTAAAACCGGGGAGGTAAAGTTAGGCGATGCTAATCAAAATGAGCATCAAAATCAACTTGCTATTATTCCTTTTCCTGATCAAGGTGATCCAATAGCCCTTGAGCATTATGATGTAAATGACAAGGTTACTAGAAGTTACGGGCATGAATGTACTGAAAATTCTTCCAGATATCATCATCTGAAAAATAGCCCTAAACTAAAGGGGAACAATGTTAATCTGTTGACTTTTGAGCCCTATAATCTGCCTGAAAAATCAGATGATGCAGAAAAGAGTGATGATTTTTCATGGAATTATCATTATAGTTTTGGCACCCCTAAATTACAGAAGAGGAGTTTATGTGATCTGGATGACATGGATATTGGAAACAAATGGGAAGGGATAAATTCCAATAAAGGAACTCAAGAGAAAAAATATCATTCTACATATTCAAGAAGTAGAAATCTTGGCGAAGAAAAAACTTATAAAGGCAGAGACAGAACCTTAAATGCAGCTGCCTACAAGGAATTGATAAATTCATACTTAAAGAAAATGAATACAAGACCAGCTAAAGAAGAACCATCTGTTACTGATCAGTGGAAGCAAGTCCAGGCAACAAGCATGTTTGGCCAACCGAAGGAAACAGAGTTATCACATAGAGAGGAGGATGAGGAAGAAATGTCTGAGATAGATATGTTATGGAGAGAAATGGAAGTGTCATTGGCATCAAGTTATCTTAACGAAGACAAAGAGGTGTAACCATTGGCCATTCCTTTCCCCTCTTTATTCCTTTTGTTTGTGTTTGTGTTTTGTTTTGATTTTCATCTAATGCTGATTCAGTTCAACTATTTAATTAGGGTTCAAATGCTGACAATTGTGCTGAGGCTCTGGAGAAATCGACTGAAGTTTGTGAACATGATTATAGATTGAACGAAGAAATTGGAATTTACTGCCTAAAATGTGGCTTTGTGAGGATGGAGATTAAATATGTTTTGCCACCCTTTGTAAGTCGAGTTTAAAATCTATAAAGAAATCTCCATTGTCTTATGTTCCTGCATTCTGGCAACCAAGTCACAAGGCTATTATCTCACACTATTATGCAAAATATATCATAGAATAGTACAAACGAAACTGTGATTTTAGAAGGAACATGTATGCTATCCCAAAATCTATCTATCTGAAACTTAGTTCCTGATGTTAACCACAGTTTTGGTTAGATATTTTATCTCTTTCCCCAGACAGTGTTTGATAACCTTTTTGGTGTTGGCAGATAGAACGTTCAGTGTGTCACCAAGAGGATAAGCAGTGTGGTGGAGAATATTCAGGGTCCAAGACTGATGAAGATGATGATTTCCAACTTTGCGCAACTTATGCTTCTCCTGATGAACCTATTTCTGAAGAAAGTGATAACGTTTGGGCATTAATTCCCGAACTTAGAAAAAAGTTGCATGTCCACCAAAAGAAAGCTTTTGAGTTTCTTTGGCAAAATATTGCAGGGTCTATGGAACCAGCTCTTATGGAAGCAGAATCCCGAAAAAGAGGTGGCTGTGTGATATCTCATTCTCCTGGAGCTGGAAAAACTTTACTCATTATTGCTTTTCTTGTTAGCTACTTGAGGTTATTCCCCGGGAAGAGGCCTCTGGTCCTTGCTCCAAAAACAACGCTCTATACTTGGTATAAAGAATTTATCAAGTGGGAAATTCCTGTACCAGTGTATCTGATTCATGGCCGTAGAACCTTCAGGGTATACAAGCAGAAATCAGCAATGGTTTTTCCTGGATTTCCCAAGCCCACTGAGGATGTAAAGCATGTTTTGGATTGCCTGGAAAATATACAAAAGTGGCATTCACACCCAAGTGTTCTAATAATGGGCTATACTTCATTTTTAACATTGATGCGAGAGGATTCAAAGTTTGCACACAGAAAGTATATGGCTAAAGTATTGAGGGAAAGTCCTGGGCTCCTGGTACTGGATGAAGGGCATAATCCAAGAAGCACTAAATCAAGGTTGAGAAAAGTTTTAATGAAAGTAGAGACAAAATTGAGGATATTACTTTCGGGTACATTATTTCAGAACAACTTCTGTGAATACTTCAACACTCTCTGCCTGGCAAGACCAGTGTTTTCTTTTGAAGTTCTGAAAGCATTAGACCCAAAATACAGGAGGAAAAGGAGGGCACCAGAAAAGGCATATCATTTAATAGAGTCACGGGCTAGAAAATTCTTCCTGGATAAAATTGCTAAGAAAATTGACTCAAATATTGGTGACGAGAGGATGGAAGGTCTAAACATGTTGAGGAATGTAACAAATGGTTTTATAGATGTTTATGAAGGTGGGAATTCTGATAGTCTACCTGGTTTACAAATTTACACATTGCTAATGAATACAACTGATGTACAGCATGAGATTTTGCAGATCCTGCACAAGAGAATGGCTAAGTGCAGTGGATACCCTCTGGAGTTAGAGCTTTTGATAACTCTTGGTTCAATACATCCTTGGTTGGTCAAAACAGCTGTCTGTGCTGAAAAGTTTCTCACTAGGGAGCAATTGAAGGAGCTAGATAAATACAAGTTTGATTTAAAAATAGGGTCAAAAGTAAGATTTGTTTTGAGCCTTATCTATCGTGTTGTCAAGAAGGAGAAGATTCTTATCTTTTGTCACAACATTGCACCTGTCAAATTATTTCTAGAATATTTTGAGAAGTACTTTGGATGGAGAAAAGGTCGTGAAGTTTTGGTACTAACTGGGGAACTAGAGCTCTTTGAACGGGGTGTAATAATGGACAAGTTTGAGGAGCCTGGTGGAGTATCAATGATACTCCTTGCTTCAATTACAGCTTGTGCTGAAGGCATTAGTTTGACAGCTGCTTCTCGTGTGATTATGTTGGATTCAGAGTGGAACCCATCAAAAACAAAGCAGGCTATTGCTCGTGCCTTTCGTCCTGGTCAGCAAAAAGTGGTTTATGTGTATCAGCTCTTGGTAACAGGCTCATTGGAGGAAGATAAGTACCGAAGAACCACTTGGAAAGAGTGGGTATCAAGCATGATTTTTAGCGAGGCCTTTGTGGAGGACCCTTCTCAATGGCAAGCTGAGAAGATTGAAGATGATATACTAAGGGAAATGGTTGAGGAGGATCGGTCTAAATCATTCCATATGATTATGAAGAATGAAAAAGCTTCAACAAACAGATGAAAGGTAAATACTCTTTTTTCCTGTAAAAATGAAGCATCAACATATATCCTTCATTCTCCCCGAGAGAGTGCAATATGTGTTTTAAATCTCTTGCATATGCTTGTCTGCATTTACATTCAGTGTGAGTGTTTGTTCAAAATTACTATATAGGCATATTATGTTACATTAAAATTTAGCATGAAGCAATGCATCGTGTTTGATCTACTTTTGTAATTTTACACAATGTTCTTCAGCATATGTAACATTGCTAAAATGTTCATCCCCCACAAACAGCTGGCCATAATCCACACGTAGATGATTAATTATGATTCGATAAAACACTGTATAATTAGCCTTTTAAGTATGAAGTGCTCTGTATTCTGAAGACCAATAATATGGACTTAAAATATTCACTTCAAATGGTAGTCTCATGGTTCAGTCTTTTGGACTATTATATTTGTGTCTAGATTACAGTCCTTCACTAAGAGACTTCCCTACAGCCACTGAATATATGCAAAGCTAATGTGGACTTTGAATGTGAAACCACATAGTAAAGCTATCCATACAGACTTCTAGACACATCACATCACACCTCATCTGTACAATATGATTTTTGCTATCTGATTGTAACTAGTCCCACCAAAATTTCTACATATCTCCACTCTGATTCTGACACCTCACTGGTGAGACAAAAAAGCGATGTGCAACAAGCATTTTCTGAAACCACATTATCTGTAAAGGAACCCTCAAGCCCATGGTTGGGATGTGTTGGTTAGAAGGAGCATGCATCTATGTCGTAAGTATGCATATTTCATACTTGCACCATGTTTTGTTGTCTTATGTGCCCTCCTTTGTTGTACATATCTATTGATCATGCCATACAATTTTTTAAATGCAAAAGTGATTCCAAAAATGATAAGCAAGTTCCTTATCCAATTCACTTTCAAATTGTATTACTTTTGTATGACCATCGTTAATGACTTTGAAGAAACAAAATGGAAATTTTCAAACAAGTCTTTTAATTATTTCAATTAACCTTATTGCTTGTTGAATCTGATTTCAAATGGATGTGATTCTAATAGCATTCCTTTGCACGTACAAAACTATGTCATTCCACATGTTAACAATGGTATGGCCAAATGACAAACCACAATAAGTGAGTCGACACCACATCTCAACCTAAAATTTTAAGACTGTAGATTTATAGATCTTTCGCTCTTATACGGTCCTCACTTGGTTCATATTTAATCAATGTGGGACTTTATTACTACTCACTTAAATATTTCTAAAACCAGAAGCCATCTCACTCTATGAAAATTTTGCTTGCGATGAATGATGTTAAAGTGGATTGCACTCTTGGTGACATTGTTGCCAAGTAACATTGATGCAGACATGGTTTTTTCGGTTACAATTGTTATGCTTATTGGTTAAAACTCATTTTCACATTTTCCTAATTTCCTTACTCAGAACAGGACCATCCGAAGCTTGAGATTGCAGTAAGAGCATCAATAAAGGACCCAACCCCACTTCTTAACAAGCTTTATGGGGAGCCCAATCTGTCTTTTTATTTTTTTTTTGTTCTTAACAAGCCATTGAATTTATTCAGGCAGATTCTAGTTTTTGCAATTATGATAAATTATCGACAATTTTATTTATTTATTTAATTAGTACATTGGAGGTTCACCTGGGTCACCCTGGTCTTAAAGAGGGGATCCATGCCAATTGAGTTGCAAAGCTGTTGGCAAATTTTCAATATTTTAAAACTCTTTTCCCTCTTTGGCAAATTTTATTCCATCACTGCAAAACTTTACTAGCCTAACTGCACATTTCTGCAACTTGTACTTTCATTCATAATCAATTCAGCTTTACCAAGAACACGTTTGTAAATCTTCTACTTTCACCTCTTTTTTGGGTAAACTATTTTTGCCTGTTTATGACGGTCAATTTCTCAGCAACAGGATTTTCTAGTTAGTTTTGTCTTTCTTAATTTGAGCCTTTGCCCGACTTCTATCTAGGAGTGTAAATATGTTAGGTTAAGCTAGTCTTTGATTTAAATAGGTTAGGTTTGTGTAAAAAAATATTTGGTATGACCTGGCCTGACCTATTAGCCTGTATAGATCTCAAATTATAAGTCTGGTTTGACCTGTATTTAAAAAATAAAAACCTTGGCTTAAGCTTGCTAGCCTGTTTAAGTCTATTAATCATTTAACGATTAAAAGAATAACTAAAATAATATTATTTTATTATTTAAAATTATTAAAATAATAATTTTATTTATTATATTTTAAATAAATAATATGATATAGGTCGGCCTATAAGTTTATAGGTCCGACGTGTACAAAAAAATCTATGACCTGTTTTTTAAATAGCTTTTTTTAAAAACGTAGGTCTGTTTTATTTTACTATTTATAATAGGTCAAGTCTGGCCTAATATAGGTTAGGCCGCTGTAGGCCGACCTAGTTCATTTACACATCTAATTTTACTTAAAAGAAAAGGGAAAAACACTTCTAATGTGTATAAGAAATATTTTTTTATATTGTGACTCTTTGATTTGCATGTAATTTTCTTTTTTGTATTTAATATGTGTGGGGTTTATCACTAGTTAACTCATAATACGAGAATCCAATTTTTATGTCACGTAAGAAAATCAAAGTCCAAAAGAAAATTGCAAAACCTTCATAAAATTGAGGTTGGCGTTAAGGACAAATTGAACAAAAAAATGATAATAATGAGTAGAATGAGCCACTATTAAAGATCGTATTGTCGTTATTACCAAAAAAGAAAGAAAAAAGATCGTATTGTCGTACATTTGGAAATAGAATTCCCACTTTATATGTCACATGTCCAAAAAAGAAAGAATAAGAGAGATTACATACGAGAGAGAGAGAGAGATCCATTGTCAAGTGTAGTTTTTATTATTATTTGATGATGTTATTAAATTATTAAATGAGTTTTATTATGATAATAGTTATTTGAAATGTTGAAAACTCTTTTAATGATGCGATGACATGTGATTAGATCGTAATTTAAAAATTATAAAAAAGAATAGAATAATATTTCTGCAGTTACTGCAGATAAGTTATCTGCATTTATTTTAAAAATGATGTCGTTTTGAGATTAAAAAATAATAATTACAAAGATTATAATAATCCTGAAATAAATTAAAATTACAAAACACCATAATTTCTATCCCAAAACGATATCGTATTAGGCTTATTGTAGATAATTTATTTGTAATTACAATAATTACAGAAAAAGCGAACCCTAAAAAACAAAACTAATAATATTCTTTGGTTAATATCATAGGGCTTTATTAATCTCATGCGACATCTCTTATGTCATAGAGATAGTGATGAGTGGGACCCACACACTTAAAGAAAAAGAAAAAAAGAAAAAAAGCAACACGAAAGTCGATGTATGTGTAGGAGAGAAAAATACTCTCCTACAACATAAGATAATATTTTTCCAATATCATATATTAGAGGTAATTTTCCTGATAAAGTTTGAGTTGTGGGATTGGACCTGATAAATACGTTAGGCACTTTAGTGGAGATTTGCATGCCCTTTTTTGTTATTGGACGTGTGAGAGATCTGATCCGATACGTAATTTAGACCTGATCAATGACCACTAGGACAACTTATCTGAGCATTTAGGCTATATAATTTGTTCCATGTATTGAATTAGGAAAAAATGTGTGTCATTTTAAAGGATGTAAAGGTGTGTTATTTTAAGTGAGAGAAAGAGATAGATCATGGGAGAGAGGGTGGACAAAAATAAAAATAAAAATAAAAATGTGGATCTCATCTTTTTGTAAAAGTGAAATGAAGTTATGACATTTAAAAAGACAAATATTTTTTCTATAAAATTAATTTTTAAGTAAGCAAGGTGAATTATATCCACGTAAATTATTATTTAACATGTATAATATTTTATGAACTGTGATAGAAATATATTTTAAAAGTATTTTATGTTAAGTAATGATTTAAGTGTTTAAGAGATATAATATAAAAATCATTGATTAGGCATTCACATACAAGCTTAACCTGCTGAGTTGAATTGCGCTTTATAGTGGTTACAAGTTTGATCTTTACCGTTTTTATTCTATTAATAAAAATATTAAATATTACGAAATTTCTGAATTTAATGCATCATTCACCCTTCAAGCTTATATAGCCTTTGCATGAGAATGTGTGTTGGAGAGATATAATATAAATACTATTAAATGCTCATAAAGGTAGAACCTAAAAAAATGGGTCGATGCAATATTCATTCTTCAAACCCAAATGTCCCTTATGTGAGGAGGTTTACAAAGATATAATATAAAAATTATTCAAGGTACATCACTTATTAACTTAAGTTTTTAGGTGAGATAATTGTTTATGAGGCCATCATTTAATAATTTAAACTTTTGGATTGAATTAATTCATCACGTGATTAAATTGTTTTTAACTAATACTTTTTCTTTTGAATGTCCAAGGAAAACTAAACCAAGTTGGGTTTGGAGTATGACAATATGATAACAAAATAGTCTATAGATGTAATAAATGGAAAATTGTATATTTGTTGAATGGTTCATATGAGTTCATCTTGGAGTTTGAAAGGGGTTTGTGAAAATCAAAACCTAGCATGCAAGCATGACTCTGAGAAGTTATCTTGAACCAGATTAACATTACCATTCATAAGATTTGATGATATTTTATTTATGTAATCAATTTTCTAACATAAAGTCACCAAGGGTTATTACATTTATAATCATTTATTTGGTCTCGCTAGTTAGTATCCTTAGTTAAGAAGCATCTATTACCTTTCAATAAATCATCTTAATTACTTAATAAAAAAATTAAATATTTTATGAATGTTTAAAATATCAAATATCTCTAATTTTAATATAATTAATTATATTTTAATTCTTATTGAAAGTGAGAAGAAATTGATTCATTGAAAAGTGAAGTATCGATTACAAGGTACTGATATTTATATCAGTAAAGAATGAAATAACCAACTCACATTAACTAACAACTAACAGTAACTAACTAATGAATTAATAACCAACTAATTAATACTGTGATAGCCCCCCTCAAGTTGGAAGATGAATGTCCTTCAATCCCAACTTGGATAGTAAAAAATGGAAAGGAGTAGAAGGAAGAGCCTTGGTTAGAATGTCAGCCAGTTGGTTAGCAGAGCTGATAGGAAGAAGGTGAACTAAACCAGAATTCACTTTTCCCTGATTATATGGCAATCGATCTCTATGTGCTTGCTGCGTTCATGGAAAGCTGGGTTGTGAGCAAGGTAGATAGCTGATCGGTTGTCACAGAAGAGGGAGATAGGTTGTTCAATGGCAATGCAGAGGTCCTTGAAGAGGTGAGACAACCATTGAAGCTCACAAGCAACTGCAGCTAAGGCTCTATATTCAGATTCTGAGGAGGATCTAGAAACGGTGGATTGTTTCTTTGATTTCCATGAAACCAAAGTATCTCCAAGAAAGACACAATAACCCGATATGGATCGTCGAGAGTCTGGACAACTGGCCCAATCTGCATCTGCAAATCCAGAGGGAACAAGGTTGTTGTGCCTGGAGAAAAACAAGCCCTTTGAAGGTGAAGCTTTAATGTATTTCAGAACTCGCATGGCAGCATGAAAATGAGAGTCCCTTGGGTCAGCCATGAATTGGCTAAGCTGCTGAACAGGGAATGAAAGATCAGGACGTGTAGTAGTTAAGTACAACAAACGTCCTACCAGTCGACGGTATGCAGCAGGATCTGAGTAAGGCTTGCCATGTTCTTTGCTTAATCTGATGGTAGGATCCATAGGTGTTAAAGTTGGTTTGGAAGCAAGCAAACCAGCATCTGAGATCAGTTCTAATGCATATTTTCGCTGATGTAGAACTATACCATGTTTGGAATGAGCAACCTCAAGCCCCAAAAAAAATCTCACTGGACCTAAGTCTTTAATTTTGAACTGCTTGTCTAGGAGTTGTTTGACACGAGAAATCTCAGCATTGTCAGTCCCTGTAAGGACAATGTCATCGACATATATCAATAAAGCAGTGAAGGACTTATCAACTTGACGTATGAGTAAGGAATGATCTGCTTGGGACTGTGTATATCCAATTGAGAACAGAAAAGTGGTTAATTTGGCATGCCATTGCCTACTAGCTTGCTTGAGTACATGTAAGGAACGCTGGAGTTTACAAACTTGATTGGAATTCTCAGATTTGATTCCTGGTGGAAGAACCATGTACACATCTTCATGAAGGTCTCCATGTAAGAATGCATTGTTGACATCCAATTGTTGGACATCCCATCCTTTGGCAGTTGCAATGGAAAGCAGAATGCGAACTGTAGTGAGCTTAACAACTGGGGAAAATGTGTCTAAGTAGTCTACCCCTTCGAGTTGGGTATAGCCTTTAGCCACTAATCTAGCCTTGTACCTCTCAATGGAACCATCAGCCTTATGTTTGATCTTATAAACCCATTTACATCCGATAGGTGTAGTGTGTGATGGCAGATCAACAATCTTCCAAGTATGATTTTGTTCAAGAGCCACGAGTTCATCATGCATGGCTTTCTGCCAACACTCAAATTTTGAAGCTTGGTTGCTTGTTTTGGGTTCAATGCATGTCATGGTATTAAGACATAAATTTTTATAAGATGGAGAACAAAAAGAATAAGATAGAACAGAAGATAAAGGATAAGAGGGAGTACCTGACTTTGATGATGGTTCAGTTATTGCATTCGATAGAGAGACATGATAATCTGTCAAGTAATCTGGTGCTTTGTGGTTTCTGGTTGATCTTCTAGGGGGTATTGATGATTGGACAGGATCTGTTTGAGAAGATATGGAAGAGTTCTGATCTGAATCAATTGGTTCTGAATGTTCATGGGTTGCTAGTAAAGGAGTGTCTTCTGTTTGTAAATTTGTGATGAATTCGGGTACATCATATAAAGTGGTGGGATGGCAGATGGATATAGGTTTGCTATCTTTTGAAATATGATCTACAGGATTGAATGGGAAATGATTCTCATAGAAAATGACATTCCTAGAAATGAAAATGGCCCTTCATGACAGATTGAACATAATGTAACCTTTCATACCTTCTTTATATCCTAGGAAGACACATTTAGAGGCTCTGGGTGAAAGTTTGGTACGGCCTTGTTGAAGTGTGGAAGCATAAGCTAAACAACCAAAGGCTTTAAGATGTATGAGGATAGGTGTTTGATTGTGAAGAATTTCATATGGGGTTTTATTATCAAGTAAGGGAGTGCATAATCTGTTTATTATGTGTGTAGCATGTGAAACAGCATAGGACCAAAGGTGTTTTGGTAAGTTAGCTTGAAAGAAAAGAGATTTACCAACATTAAGAATATGTTGGTGTTTTCTTTCAACTAAGCCATTTTGTTGATGAGCTTCTACACAGGACTTTTGGTGAATAATTCCTTTGGTATGGTATAGCTCGATCATGGAAAATTCGAGTCCATTGTCACTTCTTATTATCTTAACAGAAGACTTAAACTGGTTTTCAACATAGGAAATGAAGTTTTTAATGTGAACTCTTGTTTCAGTTTTGTTTTTCATTAGAATTAACCAAGTGAATCTTGAGAAATCATCAACAATAGTCAAAAAATAACGATGGCCATGAATAGATGGTGTAGAGATAGGACCCCAGATATCAGTGTGGATTATTTGAAAAGGAGAAGTCAAATTCGAATTACTGGAAATGTAAGGTAAACATCTTTGTTTGGAAGTATGACAAATGTCACATGGACTAACATTTTTACAAGATATGAAAGGAAATTGGATACACATTGATTTAGTTACAGAATGTGAAGGATGACCTAGTCTATAGTGCCAAATGAGGGAAGAATCTTTGTGCTTGATAGAATCATCATGTAGAATGTACAATCCATCGACTTTCCTAGCTGAACCAATCATCTTGTTCGAAGGTACCTGATTAATAAAGCAAGTTGAATCATGAAAAAGAGTGTAGCATTTTAGATCATGTGTGAGTTTGGTAACAGAAATGAGGTTTACATGAAAGTGAGGAACAAGTAAGACATCTTTAAGATGCAAAGATTCTGAGATATAAGCATTTCCAGCTTTTGATGCAATAATGTGTGCACCATTAGGCAGTGTAATGGTAATGGGTTTAATGAAATGAATAGAAGTCAGAAAAGATTACATGCATGTTATATGATCTGTGGCTCCTGTATCCAAAATTCAAACCTTGAAAGATATACCTGATTCTTTTGTGTTAGAATTGAAAGCAGAGGAAGTCACCAGATTGGATGAGTGTGTAGGTGGAAATAGGTTCTTTTGATTCAGCATTCCCATCAATTGTTGATATTGATCCTTTGAAAATCTGAAACTGTCATCAGAATCTTGGTTTTCTTTGTTATCTTCCAATTCATCAAACTGGAGGTAATTGGCTGTGTGAGATGTTCTTGATCGAAAGCCTGGTGGAAAGCCATGCTTCTGATAACAATTCTCAATTGTATGATTTGGCTTCTTGCAATAAGTGCAGAATTTTCCATTCCCTCGTCCTCTCCCTGTACTGTGATTGAAGCGACTGGTATTTCTCCCATCATTTCTGGAATTGAAATTAGGATTGAAACTGGAATTGAAACTAGGATTGGAATTAAAATTGGAACTGGGATTGGAATTGAAACTGGGATTGGAATTAAAACTGGGATTGGAATTGGAAGATTCATTTCTGTCTTTGCGTTGATCAAAAGCATTAACAAATGCTTGGGAATCATTCTGATTGATACTGAGATCAAGATTAAGACGTCTTTCTTGTTGACTTACCAAAGAAAAAACCTTATTGATAGTAGGTAAGGGATCAATCATCATCACCTGAGAGCATACATGGGAGAATTGGTCATTGAGACCCTTTAAAAATCGAATCACTCTATCTCTTTCTAGTCTACTCTTGATCTGTTCATGAGAACAGTTGCATGTTGGTTGACAATTACATTTGGGCATTAGTTGCAGGCTATCCAGCTCATCCCATAAAGATTTCAACTCTGTGAATTATTCTGCTACCATCTTCGTGTTCTGTTGGATTTTCAAGATTTCATCATGTAAATCTGAAATTCTAAAGATATCCGATTGTGCAAACCTTTCTTGCAGATCTTTCCAGATATCTTCGGCTTTATCCATCCATAGAACAGATTGCACAATTGTATCAAAAATGGAGTGTTGCAACCAAGACACCACCACTGTATTGCATCTGTCCCAAGCTCCATAAGTGGGATCATCAGTTCCTGGCATGGTAATTGTTCCATCGACAAAGGAAAGCTTATTCTTGGATCGTAATGCAATTTTCATAGCTCTCAACCAAGTATGAAAATTTCTTCCATTCATCTGGGAAGAAACAAGAACTAATCCTGGGTTTTCATTGGGATGAAGGTAAAAGGGATTCCCAATGTTATTAACGTTTTCAGGCTGGGCTGCCATTTTCTCAGAAAAGAAAGGCGGAAGAAAGAAAAGGATTCTTGGGAGAAATACCAGAGCTCAATTAGAGCTCTAATACCATATTGAAAGTGAGAAGAAATTGATTCATTGAAAAGTGAAGTATCGATTACAAGGTACTGATATTTATATCAGTAAAGAATGAAATAACCAACTCACATTAACTAACAACTAACAGTAACTAACTAATGAATTAATAACCAACTAATTAATACTGTGATAATTCTTCAACTCACAAGCAAATGCTCAACTTTGTATTCCACATTAGCTATGGTTTTATTGTATAGAAATCTTATTTTTCTTTAAAATTAGTGCACCGTACGAGTAAATGGAAATTATCAGCTAGTTACGAAATTCGAATGCAATTGGTCAAAACTCAAAAGTTCGCCATGCGCAACATCAAATAAACGATTCAATTGTGGTGCATGGCATTATAACATTCGGATGCGGACAAGGCACTACGAAACAAGATCTACAAAGATTTATGCGTCATAATAGTCAGATATATACAAGGCATATGACTTGGCTTCTCCATAGTTTTAGACCCTTCTAATCAAGTGGCTAATTTAAAATTATATTCCAGACAATTTTACTCGATGTTGCTTCTAGCTAAAGATTAGATTAGACCACTGAATCATCGAGGCCAAAAAAGAAAACGAGCATTGAATTCTCACCTCTTTTATTTATTTTATTTGTGTGCCTTTTCTCAACTCTCCAAGAGATCAACTGCTAAATATTACAAATTAAAATAGTGACTAGAATGGCCTTTACTGTACTTATCAAATATATGCTGGGATGGTTTATAATTAAAAAAAGAAAAGAAAAGAAATAACAATGGTTTATAAAATGTATAATTTATGGCTTTGGCTTAGTGATTAATATAAAGATTTTATACTTCTCATGTTATATGAGATGGGACTTTTTATACCATAAAACAAAAAGTACGTGAAACTCATATGTTAAAAAAATCATATATAAAATCTATGTCAGCAAAGAACCAAATCTTATATAAAAAATGTCTCTAAATATAAAACCCTTAATATAATGCATGCTTTTCCAGTACTGATAATTTGCGGTGAAAGTAGAGTATGATGTTAGGTGAATTTTACCTACAATGTTAAGAGATTTGAATTCTGTAGTTGCTATTTCGAGGGTCCATTAAAAGATGTGGATTTCCTACGGATAAAAAATTGTGGTGGGGCCATTAAAAATTAAAAAATAAATAAATAAAATGAATGACAATTTTAGGATAATATTATATTTACAAATTCTTAGAAACTTATAAACTATACTAAATATGACTCGTTAGACTTCAATTAAAAATATATGATTAGTCAGATATAATATAGTTTATAAACAAAAAATTTGTAATATAACATTTCCCACAATTTTGATATCTCTACAGCAAGAGGGAGTTGTTCTGCAGCAACAGTAACAGGAGAAACAATTTTTCCTCCTTTTCATATCAAAAAGTTCAATTTTTCCTCCTTTTCATATCAAAAAGTTATTATTTTTTAAGAAGAAGGTTACACTTACAATTTTTTTTACAATCTCTTACAATCATATCTTAACACCGTTAATTTTCGTCAATCAACAGTTATTATTTTCGTAAATTAAACTCATTAATTAATTATTAATTCACAATAAATGATAACCGTTGATTTCCGCAAATCAACGGTGTTAAAATATGATTGTAAGAGGTTGTAAAAAAAAAATTGTAAATATAACCTTTCTCATTTTTTAATTTAAAAAGTAAATGCCATAAGTAGGTTGGGTCAGTTTTCGTTGGGTGGTTTCATTCCCCTGTAGCGGAACTAGAGGCAAATAGTTGGGGGTTAGACTTAATCTAATATAAGCTATTTATACAAATTCAAACTATGTTAGTATCATTCAAAATTATCACCAGAATATTTTATGCAGTAGGATGAAATTGGCCGTCAGTCATTTTAGAGAATGCATTTTCTTTTAATTTATTTATTATTTTAAAATATTAAGAGTATGCAATTTTTTAAAAAAACTTTATCCTTATATATATCTACAAAGTAAAATGGAGGAGAATATTAATAAAATTAGGAGTTTATTGGTTAAATATAATTATATATTTTTTTAAATTAAGAATATATAATAACTTTTTTAATTCTTATAAATAATCTTAAACTATTGATATTTATTGAAAAAAAATAACTAACTGCATATCGCAGAACATTTTATTTGGGTGGTGACATTAATTTTGTTGGTGAGGTAAATATTCTATCTTGGTAAAATTTAATGTAAATCAAAGTCAGATTAAACCATTGCGTATGAAACGATTATGATAGATAAAGAGTTGTGTTGAATCAACCGCTATATATTGACAAAGTCTGCTATGAATCAGAGTTAGATTGAATCAAGATGTTTGAACTGGTAAGGAATAAGTAGAGAAAACTTGCACTCTGACTATTAATTTTAGGTTTTGACGTAGTATTCAACGTTTGATCTAAACACATAATATAAAAAACGAGGTGGATTGAATAATTGCTATTGGCTAATAAATATAAGTAAAAATAATAGTTTTTATTAATCTCATGAAATATAAGAGAAGTTTTCTCATGCTATAGAAATAATCATGTGTGACACTCATCCATTTATAAAAAATACAAAAATTGATGTATATGTAGAAGAAAAAAAATACTCTCCTACAACATAAGAGTATATTTTTCCAAAAATAATTGCATGACAAATCAGATGAAGTGATCGAAGAAAGCTCTTAAAAAAATGGGCTAAATTCTTTTTTTGAAAGTCAGGGAAACATTATATGGATTCACATATAATAGTTTTGCCACATACTTCACGTACTGTAATCGTTATTATCATTATTATTTTTATTATTATTATTTTTTTTTTGGATAAATCACATGTATCCTTCACAGGAGGTAATTCTGTTCAAGGCGAGTCCAGTATTCAGGCTTTAAACTCCTTCTTAAAATATGTAAACTATGTGAGGCCATTTTTAATTATGTGCATATAACAAGATTTTAAATTTTTAAAATTATGGATTTAATATTTCTCATACTATAGGAGATAAATTTATCTCTTATGAATACATAAAAATATGTGGAGACCATGTGGTCCATGTGAAGAGAAGATAAAGAAAGAGAAATATAAGTTATATATTTTTTTATGTGTTGTATGAGATAAATTTATCTTTTTCGACATATAGTGTATAAGAAACACTAAATCCTAAAATTATAGTGTATGTATGAATTAGCTTATTTGAAAAAATAATTACTTTTTTCAGATTTTTTTTAAATAGTTGTTATTTTTTTCAAAAATAAACTACAATAAATACTACATGGTATGGAAAAATAAAATTATATTCAAACCCACATTGAAAATAAAATGAATGTACAGGTTATTAAGGACAACTGCACTCACATTAATTTGAGTGAAGTCCGGGCAGTTGTTATAATCCATGTGCTTATTAAGGATTTTTTTATATTTAGTTGTATTTTAGATGTAAAAGATATGTTATTAAATTCGATCTGGTAATTGATTTGATTGAGATATTAGGTTATTGGTTCAACCGCATGACCCAGTAAATATATATAAATCTATTATTTATATTGAAAAAACTATAAACATACTCGAATACATGTAAAATAACATACCTCTTTGTAAAATAACATATTGAAAAAACTATAAATATACTAGAATACATGTATTTTAATATAAAAATAATGAAACACATTTCATTATCCAACAAATGATCAAACAAATATATAATGGTTGTGATACTAGTACATAAGGTTGAGTAGACGATATCTCTTTTTTTATTTTTTTGTATATCAGTAGACGATATCTCTAGTTATAAATCAAAATTCTTTGCATAGTGTATAACCAAGATAATTTTAGTGTCATAGTAACATAACCTATGTAAGTTAATAAGCAACAAATCACTCAAATATTTCAAAAGAAAACAAATTATTTGTGAATTTTAAAAATAATATTCTTTATGAATTTTTTTGGAAACAATTTTGTTTTTTATGAATAGAGTCGAGTCATCGATTTTCACCAAAACCGACCAGGTAACACTGATTCATACTCCTTCCAATACTTGGTCGATTTACTATTTCACCCAGACCGGTTATATGACCGATTTATCAGTTCCCAGGTCGATAGAGTTTATTAACATTGTGTAAAAGTGTTACATAATTGAAAAATAAAAGTTTAAACTAATTTGTAAGTTTTAATTTTTTTAAATTTTTAAATAAGTCCCTCTATTTCACTTTTTAAATTAGATCATTATTTTAAAAATAAAATAAAATTGTGCAGTCTTTAGATTGTCCTATCATTTGAATGGTACAGGGACTTGGTTATTTTTTCTTTCTAAAACTATAGATATCTAATTATAAATTTTAAATAACAATATAATAACTTATTTTTTAAAAGGATAAAAAGTTTTTAATTGAACCGATATAAAACTAAACTTTTTCTTGTCATTACTTATATAAGAATATATTAATTCTCCAAGCTAGCCATCTAGTTTGAGTTTCATCAATTCTCCACAAAAGTACATTTATTTTTTCTCAAATGATAATGTTATATTTTTTTAAAAATATTTCTTATTTCTTTTCTTTTTTGGAAATAAAATATTTCTTATTTCTAAATGGGACAATGCAGAATGTGGATTAATTATTAAATAAAAAGGGGTGGGGAAGAAAAACAACTTGTTGAAGTTGGTGAGAAGAGGGGAAGAAAGATACGAAAACGACAAAAAATAAAGTTCACGGATATAGAGTCATTCGAAAAGTTGTAAGAGTAAATTAAACGGAAACCAACTTCCATGGATGATTGAAGTTGATAGGACCATAGGGGGGTGGATATATAAGAAAGAGAGTGAAAGGGGAGAAAACGGATATTTATTTACAAGATGTAAGTTTCAGTATATATATTTATACTTTCTGTAAATTTTTTATCAGCATTAAATTTTATTAAGGCATTATAAAAAAAAGTATTAATATATTTGTTAGATTAAATATTTTTATGAAGTAAATTTAATATTCATAATTTATATAATTTAAAGTTTTAAAGTATAAGTAGATTTGATAATTAAATTACATACTTATGAATGCTTAAGCTATTTAATTTTTTTTTTGATAGCCAAGTTATTTAAAATTTAATACACATGATCATTGAAATAATGCCATCTGATTTTATGGTTAGACTTAGATTGGTAAATTTCGTATTCTATAAAAAAATTACTATTATGGAATCATTCAATTTCGTATATGATCAAATGATTATTGACTTTTGTATAGAAAATTAGAAATGCTGTGATATATTATAACGAGAGTTGGAATATACATGTTAATCAATATTAAACAAACCAATTATCGATACGAAGCCATGAAATATTCATCTATCAAGAGTTGGGTTGGGATTGTAACTAAATGCTATGGCCGTGCCAGCAATTTAATTTGATTTTGGGCACAATTTTAACTTGTCTTTCTTGCTTTAAATAAGGGGATTACTTCTCTCATATTCAGAGAGATAAATAAAGTAGGTCTCATCAAATTTTTAAAAAAAGTAAAAAAGAAAAAAGAGCTAGAGGCATACTTTTCTAAGTGAGAGTAACATAAGAGATTAATCTCATGCAACATAGAGTATAATTTCCCTTAAATAAAAAAGGCTTGGAATTATCTTAAAGATGCTTTGTTTGTTCACGCAAAGTATAAACATATGCGATGGTTGTTAGGGACTCACTCTTTAACTTTTTATCCTACACTAGTAAGAGAGAGGTTGAACAAATATATATATATATATATATATATATATATATATATATATATATATATAGGGGTAGGATTCTTTGATACCAATATCAAATTTTAAATTTGACACCTCATCTAAGAGCTATTAGATAAAAAAAAATCAACGACTCTGATTTGTAAGCATGTGATACCATTTATCTTTTTTGATCTAACGGCTCTCAAAAGAGGTGTCAAACATCAAATTTGACACTGATGTAAAAGGATCCTACCTCATATATATATATATATATATATATATATATATATATATATATATATATATATACTATGATGCACACACACTGACACGGGACACGACACGATACGACACGCTGACACGTTAATTCTAAAAAAGGTCATATTTCGACACGTTTTGATATTAAATAATATTTTTAATATATATAATATAATTTATATTTAATACATATAACAGCTTATAATAAGTCATATAACCAATCAAATATTCAAATTTCATAATATAAATATAAACGAAAATAATTTTTCGTACCTTGTTAATTTTTCCTGTAAATTGCATAACAGAAAAAAATTAATTTATAAATTATTTTTAGTTAATAAAATAAAATTAAGAAGTAAAAAAAAAAAGTATCTGATGCGTGTCGGAGCGTTGACCGCGTGTCCTAAAATGTTGACCGCGTGTCAGAACGTGTCGGTGTCCGACACACACATTTTGAAAAAAAGAACAAGTCTGTTCTTTGTTGTATATATATATATATGGAGAAAAGATTATATTTACACATTTTTGGTTTATAAATTTTTATAAATTATATTATATTTTATTGGTAAGATACTCTTTAGTGAAGTCTTTTATAGGTAAGACATACTATTAAGTTTGTAAAAAAAAAATTGTCGATATAACTCTCCTATATATATATATATATATATATATATATATATATATATATATATATAGTGTAAGAGTTCTTTTTTTTACACGCCCTGTATAGAAATTGATTTCGTCCTTTCAATTATGTAAACATTGTACTGTGGGAAACTTTGTTAGTAGTTTTGATTGTCTCTTTTGCATAATAGACAAAAGATATTTGAGTATGCCATTACGTAATATATATATATATATCCATTTTATTGACTCTATTAGGTTGATGTTTATATATAAACCAATGGAGTACACTTCAAATTCAAAGTGCACTTATTGGTCAATTTATGTTACTTCTTGTTACAAAATCATTTTAATACTTAGCTCCTTTGTAATTTAATTTAATTTTTTCAGTGTCCCTCCTTTTTGCTCAACGTATAAAATTCATTAATTGATAAATAATAATTCGTTAATTATAAGTTTTATATTTCAATGATTAAATATATAACTAGGATATCGAATCACCTCAACTGAAAAATTTTCTTTATAATAGTGTAAATTCGTTACTTCTCCATAAAAAAGTTTAACTTTGTATAAACTTTATGATCATGAGTCCCTTACAAACTCCAAGACATATTCATTTAGATCATTGATAAAATTTACGGAGAAACCAAGGTATTATCTAATGAGTTATATATACGAGAATTTGGTAGAGTTTTTCTTAAGATTTTATTTGAAAAACTACAAGTTTTTTAAATTGTTTTTAATGAAATATATTTTGGTATTTCCAAATCTTATAACATATAAGGATTTTCTTGATACAAATTTAATTTGACTTGACTTCGACTTAATATTTTAAGAGAAGAGTTATATTGTCAATTTTTTTTTTTTACAAATTTACAAATTATATTATGTTTTACCGGTAAGATTTCACTCAAGAGTGTTTTACTCGTAAGATATAGTGTAATTTGTAAGAGTTTATAAACAAAAAATTATAAATATAATCTTTTCCATATTTTAATAGAGTTAATTTTGTAAATCCGGTCTAACTCATATCTTAATAATGATTAGGTCAGATCTGAATTCATATGATACTTTTTATAAATGTATAAATTTATAGGATATTAAATTATAATTTTTTCGAAAATAAAATAAAAATAAAATATATTCTCTAATATATAAAAAATTACATAATTATAAATACATTAAATGCGTAAAATGTAATAATTTTCAATTCAAAGTATTTTATTATATATCACCAATTATTAAAATGATTTTTAAATTTTTAAATATCATATAATATCTGAATAGATTTAAATAACTAAAAAAGTAATCTAAATCTGGAGTCTAATTTTTAAAATCCAATCTTCTTCTGCTTAAATTAAAGCCAGTCGGAGATGTGGTGGTGAGGGGAAAAGATGTTAAATACCCATACAATCCTGTAGATTTTATGCATGTGGTGATCGCGCGAACTAGTTTTTTTTTTTTTTTTTTTTTTTTTTTTGCCCTTTCAGGTACATAGTTTCTTTTACTTCAAATGTAGACAATGGAAAAGTATCCATTGAATTTAAAATTATTTGCATTAAAAAATATGTATACCATTTGAACAATATCGCAGACAAGTTGTTGATATGCAGGAGTTTCTAGACTGTTCTTTCCAATAATAGTCTGTTTTCAAAAGATGAGTTTTATTAGAGTTATGTTGTAAGAAAATGATTGTGTAATGTCATAGAGATTTGTTTTGTATGTTTTAATTTTTTTTTTTTTGCTTCAAAAAGTGCGAACTCCACAAAATATTGTGTGTAGAAAACTTTTTTGTGTCATGTGACATGATAGATGCAAACTCCTCCAAAGACATGTAGGAACGAGAAAAACTTGAATACATTAGCATTATTTAAGAAAGGAAAAATTTTCAGATTTTAAAAAAATATAAAAAAATACGGATTAAAAGATGAAGAATTTTTTTTTAATAAAAGTTATATTGAATTTTTTTACCCAATACATGGCATGACTTTTAGTTTAAAAAATAAAAGGAAAATTAATAAGAAAAGAAAAAAGATATGACAATGTCCGAGCGAGTCAAATCAAACAAGGAGGATGGTGGTAAAATAAACAAATATTATTTAAATAATAATATTAGTTTAAAGTGAACTTGGTAGATCAAGAAATAATATTTTTTTTTTTCAAGTTAACAAAAAAAAAAAGGAGTGGCAAAGTTGCAGTTTGAGATAAAGAAAAGGAAAAATTGATAAAACCAAGTCTAAAGACAGGTGCAAGTTGAGGATCCACTTGCAAGGTTCTTGGCTGCAACAATTCAATAGCAATTAATCAATTATCTTAACCTTCTCTCTCTCTCACCCTCACACACTAAAACAAAAAAGGAACAACGACCACAACATAGAGAGAGAGAGAGAGAAAGAAAACCGTATTTCTCTCTACGAAACACAAAAAATATTCCAACTTGGACTACAAAAGTATCAACCCAAAATGTCGAAAAGCAAAACTAGAATCTGTTGCTCTCTCACACTCTCGAATCCTCCACATATATATGGTTGCTTATTCAACAACAACAGTATATACACAAACCACTTTAACTTTCACAAAAACTAACATCTTTGGTTTGTGGATATATAGCCCATACAGGAGAGAAACAGAAAACACATTCATATTAATACGCACTAAAAATGCCTTCCCCTGTTCAGCTCCACCGTACTAACACCGCCGCCGCCGCAAACGGCGTGAACTGCCCCAAGCACGCCCAAACGCCGCCGCCAGCGAGCCGTCTCGCGATCCCCCTCGCCAAAGTAAGCGTCCCGGACACGGTGGCTCGCCACCACGCGCACATGGTGGGGCCCAACCAGTGCTGCTCCGTCGTGATCCAGCCCATAGACGCCCCCGTGTCCACCGTGTGGCCAGTTCTCCGGCGCTTCGACAACCCGCAGGGATACAAGCACTTCGTGAAGAGCTGCCACGTGGTGGCCGGCGACGGCATTCGCGTCGGCGCCCTCCGCGAGGTCCGCTTGGTCTCCGGTCTCCCCGCCGCGTCGAGCACCGAGAGGCTGGAGATCCTGGACGACGAGCGCCACGTCATCAGCTTCAGAATTGTCGGCGGGGACCACCGTCTGAGAAACTACCGGTCTGTGACGACCCTGCACGGCGACGGGAATGGCGGGACAGTTGTCATCGAGTCATACGTCGTTGACGTACCGACGGGTAACACAAAGGAGGAAACGTGCATGTTCGTGGACACCATCGTACGGTGCAATTTGCAGTCGCTGGCTCAGATCGCCGAGAACATGGCCACTCAACACTGAACAGTGAACAAAACCATCTTAATTTCTCTTCTTACCTTCATTTATTATTCCCTCTCGGTTTATTTTATTTTTCTATTTCTTTCTTTTAATCTAATGGGTTATGTCTTCCGGGTTTTTCGTTTCGAATACGGGTTCGGATCTAGTATCCTATATGGACATAGATACGTGCGCCCGTCTTGGAAATTGGTGGGTGGGTAAGCCAGTAGGTTTTTTCGGAGGACTAAAGGTCAGACGGCAATGGTTGAATCAATGTGATATATGTATAATATGATATGATATGGTGATGTATATGTTCGTATATTTAATATATGTAGTTCTATCTTTTCTTCTTTTATTTTTCAGTTCTAACATTCATTCTGATCGAGGACTGCTGCTGGTGCTTCTTTTGCATCAAAAAAATGGTCGTTGGTTGTATCCTCTACCATTTTGTTTCGTAGCAGAAATAATAGTTATATACGAATTTATAGAATGTTTGTGCAATTCCTTTTTTAATTTTTTTGCTGATTTGTTTGCTTTTGCGGTTTTTGTTCCCGTTGTAAGTATATATACTATCTATAAAACACCGATACTTTAAAAATACTGACGTGTCGTGTCTGACACTTTTCGACACTCACTGACACTTCAACATTTTCCGACACTCTAATATTCATTGCAAAGACTCAAAAAAAAAAATTAAATGTTACGTTGTGTTGCATTTTGAGTTTCAACTATTAGATTCGTTAGATTACGATTACGACTTTGTTGAGTTTAATATAAACATTTGGAATATATTATGTTTCTTTGCAAAATTGATGGATATCATATGTTTAGTGTAACAGAAATGGAATATATCGGTAATGAAACGGTAATGGAATATAATGGTAATGAGTATATCTCAATAACTAGTACTTATAGTTGTGCTCCTATAATAGTGTCCTTATTTTAATTCCTTAATTGTAATAGTGTTTTCTATTGTAACAACCTTCATGGTTATAAGTAGGTGTGTGGCGGTTAAGAAATGATATCAGAAAATTGTTGGAATTTCTCTTCTCTCTCGTGACTCTTTCTCTCTCAATTCCCTCTTCTCCTCTTCTTATCCTTTCTGCATTTCTTTTCTCCTGTAACAACCGTTACAATGGTGCTTTCATCGATCTACTCTTCCTCCATAGCTACAAGTAACACCCATCCTCGTCCACACCAAATCATTGATCCCCAATTTCACCCTTCCATCTCACTTACCATTACATCATGCTGCGATGATAGCACTGTAGCACTTCATGCAATCGACCAATCCCTTACAAAATCACGTGATGACTTAGCAAGGGCTAAGATGCAATATGATTTCGCAAGGGTTCGAGCTGAGATGCAATTTGATTTCGCAATGATTAGGGCTGATATTGATAAGATACACGCGAATCTGGAAGATATAGCTGCTACTAGGATTCAAAGGCTATTTCGTGGATATCTTGTGAGGCGTCAGCGATTCAGGAACCCCGAAACCCCTACGACTACAAACCAGTGGATGGCGTCCCTCCCACAATCGACGAGCGTGCCCACAAGCTTTGCACTAGCTCCGATTGGTGGAGCATCCTCAGCCTCCATGTCGTTTGGTGGATTATTTGTTGCTAAGGGAACACCCTCGTTCATTGCAAATCCTTCCTTCCAGTTCTCAGATGTCCCGAACCACCCTCATCCATTCCAGGTTCCTGTATTTGAACCCCCTGTGTACGGTATTATTGCTCCACGCTCTGCGATCTTTGGTGTTGTGGTTCCCTACACACTGAGTGTTAAGCCACCCTTGCCTAAGCCACCAGATTCAACTTGTGCAACGGTTTGTGACCCTAATTTGGCTACGCAGAGATTATCTTGTTATGCACACAAGATGTTTGCTGAAATGGCTGACCATGATGATACCTATAACTTCAAGCTGCTACACTCAAATTGAAAAAATACAGAGCTGCTGTTCAAAGAGATGATGCCTCTGCCTCAGCTTTTGTTGCATATGAAAGAAGCATACAAGGAAGCCAAGGAGGAGTTCTGCTCACAAATTCGAAGATTTACTGATATTGACAAGCAAACCAACGTTGGCATTAACAGTTATGTATCAATTGGGAGGTTTCTCTATTCTCCGGATGTAAGAAAATCACCACAACTAGGTGGTGCCCTTGAATCATGGCGTGGTTTCTCCCAGAGTATAAGACCTACTCATATGGGATTGTCACTTAACATTGATATGTCATCAATGGCATTCATTGAACCACTACCTGTAATTGAATTTGTTGCTCAAATTTTGGGAAAAGATGTACACTCAAAACCATCGTCAGATGCAGATCATGTCAAGATTAAAAAGGCACTAAGAGGTGTAAAAGTGGATGTTACACACAGAGGAACATTTCGCAGAAAGTACAGTATATCAGGACTGACTTCACAGCCAACAAGGGAGCTTATTTTCCCTCTTGATGACCAAATGGACATGAAATCAATAGTTGATTATTTTCTAGAAATGTATGGATATACACTCCAATTTTCTCATCTACCTTGCCTTCAAGTAGGCAGCCAAAGGAAGGTGAACTATTTGCCTATGGAGGCATACAAGATAGTTGGAGGCCAGAAATTTACAAAAGGACTAAACGAAAAGGAGATAACTTCTCTGCTAAAGGTTTCATGCCAGAGACCCTGTGAACAAGAGACAGACATTTTGCAGACAATTCAACAAAATGACTATGCAAATAATCCCTATGCAAAGGAGTTTGGTATTAGCATAGACAACAAGCTTGCATCAGTTGAGGCTCGGGTTCTTCCTGCTCCATGGTTGAAGTATCATGACACTGGACGAGAGAAAGAATACTTACCACAAGTTGGTCAGTGGAATATGATGAATAAGAAAGTTATAAATGGAGGTAACATAAGATATTGGGCATGTATTAATTTCTCACAAAGTGTACAGGAAAGTACAGCCCGTGGATTTTGCCAACAGTTAGTTAAGATGTGTCAAATCTCTGGCATGGAATTCAATCAGGACCCTGTGATTCCTGTATATTCAGTGAGACCAGATCGAGTAAATAAGGCTTTGAGGTCTGTACATTCTGTTGCTATGGAAAAACTTCATGGGAAAGAGTTAGAGTTGCTGATTGCCATTCTTCCAGACATTAATGGCTCTCTGCATGGTGCTGTCAAAAGAATCTGCGAAACAAATCTGGGGTTGATTTCTCAGTGCTGCCTTACAAAGCATGTATTCAAGATTAATAGACAGTACCTAACAAATGTGGCACTACAAATCAATGTCAAGAAGGAAGGAAGAAACACAGTACTTTTGGATGCTATAAGTTGGAGGATTCCACTGGTTATTGATATACCAACAATAATATTTGGAGCTGATGTAACTCATCCAGAACCTGGAAAGGATTCTTGCCCATCTATTGTTGCTGTTGTAGCATCCCAGGACTGGCGGGAAGTAACAAAGTATGCAGGGTTGGTCTGTGCTCAGCCTCATAGCGAAGAACTCATTGAAGATCTTTTCAAATGTTGGAAAGATCCACAGCGTGGTGTAGTTTATGGTGGTATGATCAGGGAGCTTTTACTCTCATTTAAGAGGGCACCTGGTCAAAGACCATTGCGAATAATCTTTTACAAGGATGGGGTAAGTGACAGTCAGTTCTACCAGGTTTTGCTGTATGCGCTTGATGCCATCCGCAAGGCTTGTGCATCCTTGGAACCTAGTTACCAACCTCCAGTAACATTTGTCGTGGTTCAAAAACGGCATCACACTAGACTCTTCTCAAATAATCCCAATGACAGAAACAACACTAATAAGAGTGGTAATATCTTACCTAGTACTATGGTGGATTCTAAGATATGTAATATTGTTGGAGATGAGGTATCTGTCATTGCACCTAACACTCCATCCCTTTATGAAGCTCATTTCGGGATTCCAATGGCAGGAGCTGTACTGAACACTATTAATATTCGGTTAAATGCATCAACAGTAGCTTTCCTTCTTCGTTATTGTTCAGCAGCAGTTGTAATCGTGGATCAAGAGTTCTTTTCCTTGGCAGAAGAAGCTTTGCAAATCTGGTCTGAGAAAAGCAAAAGCTTTAAGCCTCCAATTTTAATTGTCATTGGTGATGAGAACTGCAAACCTAATGAACTCAGATATGCTTTGGCCAAAGGAGCCATCGAATATGAGAAATTTCTTGAAAGTGATGAGTGGCAGAGCATTGCTTTGGGTTACACATCTGGTACCACTGCTAGTCCTAAGGGCGTGGTATTACACCACCGAGGGGCATATCTAATGTCTCTAAGTGGAGCTCTTATTTGGGGAATGCAGGAAGGTGCTGTGTATCTGTGGACATTACCCATGTTTCTTTGCAATGGCTGGTGCTATACTTGGACACTTGCCGCTTTTTGTGGGACAAACATTTGTCTTCGTCAAGTAACAACAAAGGCAACTGCATTTGGGATGTCATGTATTTTTATCTTTGACCCTGGTATTGTTATAACTTAACCTCGAGGACGAGGTTGGTCTGAAGGAGGATGGAATGTAACGGTAATGGAATATATCGGTAATGGAACGGTAATGGAATATAATGGTAATGAGTATATCTCAATAACTAGTACTTATAGTTGTGCTCCTATAATAGTGTCCTTATTTTAATTCCTTAATTGTAATAGTGTTTTCTATTGTAACAACCTTCATGGTTATAAGTAGGTGTGTGGCGGTTAAGAAATGATATCAGAAAATTGTTGGAATTTCTCTTCTCTCTCGTGACTCTTTCTCTCTCAATTCCCTCTTCTCCTCTTCTTATCCTTTCTGCATTTCTTTTCTCCTCTAACAACCGTTACATTTAGCTTTATTTTTTTGTTAAATTATTGAATACTAAATATAATATATACTATATAAATTAAAAATATTATATAATATCAAAACGTGTCCTAACATGTCGGAATTTAACATTTTTTAGAATTAACTTGTCGGAGTGTCGTGTCGAATCCCGTGTCGGTGTCGGTGCAACGTAGTATATTATGATATTTGATTATTGTTCATAATATATGAATACCTATTATATTAACTTTTTTTACCTATTATATTAAATTAATTTACAATTTGTCCTGATTTTCCCCCTTTCATTATGATTTATCTTGCTTTTTGTCAATTTCAACTACAACTTCTCATATATATATATATATGTATGAAAAACCTTAGTCTACACTCAACAAATTTATTTAAATATTGAAATAAAAATTACGTAAATGACTCTCAAATCGGAAGAAAATTTTGAGTTTCGATAATTTTATTTTATACAATTTAAAGGGAAAAAACATAAACATTTAAGTATTAATAGCCCACAGATACTGGATTTTAAGTTACATTCAAGAAAATTTGTTCAGTTTATAAGTTTTGTACATAAACAAAAAAAAAATGTTCATGACCCCACTTTAATAGTTTATAACTTTTTATTGTGGAAATTCTTTATATACATATGTATTTAGTGTATATTACATAAGATTTAGATGTATTCTGACTCTAAGTCAGAGGGAAATAGATCTTCTTATGTGAAAAAAAAAAAACATGATATGGTCATGTGAAAAGATCACAATCATACTAAATCAACGATTATGATTTCGTAACTATCTATTTTAATATTTTTTTTTTCTCCTTCTTTATTACCATTAATTCACCTTTATATAATTATAATTCCCCATATGACATGATCATGTGAATTTTGACATATGAAAGAATCCAGATTCAAATTAGAGTTTATATGCAAAATGAATGTAATAAGATATATGTAAATCTACAGTTATAGTTGTCTCCGAGATCAGTGTGTGGGTGTGTAAAACAGCAGATCTAGCGTGGGTTATTTTTATTACTTTGAATAAAGTTATTAAAAATATTTTTAAAATTTTCTTATATTTAACGCAAATGACATAATCTCAATCAAAAAAGAAGGAAAGAAAATATCAAATTTTCAATCACATTCTATTTATGTGCTAATAGATCAAAATTTATGGAATGTATCAACCCTAAGATTTGGCATATCAGGTTATTGGAAAATGAGTATATGGTGTATGCGTAAATTTGAAATTTATTATTATTACTTTGAATGAAGTTATTAAAAATATTTTTACAAATTTATTAATTCTAACGTAAATTTCTTAATTGTATTTGAGAGGTTATTATATTTTTCCAACTAGTAAGAACATTTATTTTTTTGGTTTTTAATGTTTTGGTCTCCCTCGGCTTTAGCAGATGGGACATGGAGAAAAATAAATTAATCACGTGCCGTACCAATTGGAATCATAACCTTTGGCAAATCAAGACTCGTTATTTTTCCTGTGGGCATCTGATATGTATATTTGTTTCAAACCAAAATCAATCGTCATAAAGCATATGTATCCGCCGGATAAACCGCTGTAGAGTTGGAGTAGTACTAGTAAGTAATAACTCTCACAAGACCGAGCGGGTGTTACAAGTCACCAAATTTTGAGGTTAAAATGTTATTGTTCTATAGTGTATATAATTATATATTCTTACCAATCTAATGTTAACTAATTTTTTTTTTATTTGACCGTGAAATGGAGTAATTTTTCTCTCGTCACAATCACAAATAAAAAGAAATTACTCTATTTTTAGTCTTAAAGTTAATTAATGTATTACACAGAAAGCACGCACATGCAATTTGATTTTGTTCTTTTAAACCCAGCACAAACCACATTACATCCGGCAGCAAAATGCATTACGTAACTACCAAGTTAGAAACGAAAGCACCATGAATTTTTTGATTTATCCATTCTCAACGTGGGAGGCGGTGCATGAAGGTTCGCTTGGACTTTACATGTTTCTTTGAAGCTTCTCTTTTCTTTTTTCTGGCCCTAAAGCGAAGTACATGAATCCGCAAGAGTCAAGAAAATACATCAGAAATGAAACCCCAATGAAGAAAAATGTTTTTTTTTTTTCTGTGCAATAAGGATTGTTATACTTTTATATATATGGATTAAGACGTCATTTTAGTATTAATTTTCCATGGTGGATGTGAACCAACCTCCGAACTGCAACTTGCCTAGGCAGAACTCAAGTTGATGTGCAAAAAAATCAAATTGAAATTCTTTGCCTCCTAACTTGTACTCTCTCTATTATTATATATAAACGTGAGCTGTAAGGTGGAAGCGATCGATAGAATGACAAGTTGGCTTGCAAGTGGGCAAGAAGGGCCTTCATTAATTTGTTTACCATAAATAAATATATATAGGTAAAGGTAAATAAAAAAATAAGTGGCGTATATATCTCTAGCTACCTAGAAATTAATATATTGCTTGATGTAGGCAATTTACCTAGCAGAAGTGTTTACTGTGCGTGTGTGTGTGTGATGAACGCCATGAAGAACCTGTTTGTGGTGTTCCTTATCAGCCACATCCTAAAAGCACTTATGTGCAGTTAGACTTTACTCTGCGTCGATTTTTATTAGCAATTACCGCCAATTATAATATGTAGGTAGGGGTGAAACTGGGCGGGGCCGGCTTACAGGGGCCTACGGCTCGGTCTACGTCAGGCATGACCTAGTATATTTCCTAAAATAGGTCGGATTTGGGTCTTGAAAAGGTCATAGGCCTACTTTTACAAGGCCCCCCGTAAGCCTACAGGCCGGCCTATATACTATTTATTTTAAATAAAATAAAATAGAATAAGTATGCGTTGAAGAAAAAACAAAAGAAATAAATTTAATCAATTACAAAAATTTATAACTTAATTATATTCGATTATATTTTAATAGAAATCTGACTTTATTTCTTATATAGAAGGAACCTGAAGGAAATCTTAGATTTATGCGGAAGCGGTTTAGGACCTAGTACATTGGTATGCTTACCGAATCATCCTTGTTTCACAATTACCTCTCGGTGCGCAGGTCTCGTGTAGAATCTTCCCTTGTAGGATTCCTCTTCACGAACAGCTCACCTCAGCGCCGCAGCACGAACAACCTCCTTGAAGCTGGACTGTGGCAGATCTTCCAGACTATCTCTCGAAGAGGATGAGATGGTTGTGTGGGCAACCGTTCAGATGATGAACGTCTGCCTCTTGGGGTTTGTTTCTGATGATCTATTCACCTTGGAGGCACAAGAGGAGAAAACTATGAATATATAGGCTTAGGTCTTAGACATAACTCAACCCTAAGCCTCATGGGCTCATGTGTCACTGAAGCCCAATAGGACTTTAGTGACCAAAAGAGCATATATCCAACAATCTCCCACTTGCTCTTTAAGATACAAACTTGAGTTCGTAAACCCAAGGCCATGTAGCCCATAAGCTATCATCATCTGATAATATACCTCATCCCTTGTCTCGAGCTAGCCTGGGGACCTACCATTTGTCATTGATCAAGGCTCCTGATAATCTTTGAAAGATTATCTAATTCGGTGCTACTCCACTAAAAGCCCGAACGTGAACTCCAAGATTAATGACCTTTATAACATGAATATGCATCGCCCCTTTGTAGAATGTCTATAATTGATTGGCAAGTTTTCTGTAACTCAATCAATTATTTATTTCCTTGACTATGATAGTTTCTCTAATGGATTACATGCACTGGCCAGTGTCTTTAATATCCAAGTACCGAAACATATCAAGGGGACATATCTTACAAATTCCATGTTGTTTATCTCATAAATACCGATAATCAAATAATCTCACTCCCAAAATACCGAGTTATTGGCCGTCAATAGATCAAACCTCACCCGTTGGTAAATCAAAGAATGAAAACTATTTGATTACCTATTTATAATAAACTCAGGATTAAGAGCAATCACATAACTATAGTTAACTGGAGATTTGATACCTTATGACAGAAAAACAACCTTAATCAAATCTCTCCTTGATCCTTTCAATGTGAATGTTAATTCACACCAATATTTTACAATGATTCGAACAAAATCATTTCATAAAATATTGCAGCCTGAATAAAGTGCCCAACTTTATTTAACGGCTGTGACTCCATTCATCAACTGTGAGAACCTATGATCATGTCCTCCATGAACGTATCCATATGATCATATACTCCACAATTTGATCCGGACCTTTATGTTTGTAAATAGTGCGCAAAATAAATAAATAAAACCTTATTTATGAAATTCAGAAAATTATTTATTGTTTCATCGTTTTACTCCAAGAGCACAATGAAACCAATAACTCTCACTTGCTTAATGCAAGTCTGAGATCCTCCTAAGACCCAAAGAAGTAACATGCCTCTCGAACACAAATTCAGGCAAACTCTTAGTAACTGGGTCTGCAAGATCCACCTCTAATGCTATCTGAGTTTAGTGAAAAACTCATAGCTCGAGGTTGATTTTCTTGAGTCAACATCCACTTGAAATAACTGAATTTTTAAAAACTCAGCTTTTCAAGACTCCCACTAGAGTATACCAGCATATAATCTCTCGTTCTCCAAAGATACTTGAGTACATGCTTAACAATTATCTAGTATTCCTCTAGGTTCAAAATGGTATTATCTC